TTTTGCTTTTTCCCGGCCCGGGAAAAAGCAAATTGGAAGTCTGAGCTTTTTGCTTTTTCCCGGCCCGGGAAAAAGCAAATTGGAAGTCTGAACCATTTTGCTTTTTGCCGGCCCGGGAAAAAGCAAATTGGAAGTCTAATACATTTCCAATTGCTTTTTCCCGACCCTTGGAAAAATTCTTTGTCGTGGGAAACTGCGCAAGTATGGCGAAAGGTTCGCATTGTGGACGCGAAAGACGATAGGGCCAAACCCCACCCCACTCCACTCTTCCTGCTGGAAGCACGCGCTGGACATTCCAGCTGCAGATGCACTCATAGCATGCCCACAAGTGCAGGTATGTGAGGTGAGGTGGTTGGTTCGACGGCTGTAAGTGCGCATACAACACGGTCGTAACTCCCAGGAAAAAGCAAATTGAAGGTTTGAGCCGGAAAAGCAAATTGGACATCCAATTTTCTTTTGTAAAGCCTGGAAAAAAGCATGTTTTTAAGAGAGCTGTGGCCCAAAGGGTAAGGCGCCAGGCTCATAAGCAGAAGGTTGTGGGCTCGAATCCGACAGGCGCTGCTTGTTTCCAGACCGGATTCCAAACTGCAAGTCTGATACATTTTGCTTTTTCCCGGGCCGGGAAAAAGCAAATTGGAAGTCTGAACCATTTTGCTTTTTCCCGGGCCGGGAAAAAGCAAATTGGAAGTCTGAACCATTTTGCTTTTTCCCGGGCCGAAAGCAAATTGGAAGTCTGGCCGTTTTGCTTTTTCCCGGCCCGGGAAAAAGCAAATTGGAAGTCTGAACCATTTTGCTTTTTCCCGGCCCCGGAAAAAGCAAATTCGAAGTCTGAACCAATTTGCTTTTTCCCGGGCCGGGGAAAAGCAAATTGGAAGTCTGAGCAAACTGGCCTGACTGAGCCGTCTCTTGTTCATGGAGGGTTGTGCCCAACCAAAAACACACCAACATGAAAACTGCTTGGTTGGCTGGCTTCCTGTTCCTCAGCAATCAATGTGTCAGTGATCAGAGGACACAAGACGTGCCAGGGCAACCGCATGAATCCTTGAAAGCCTCTAGCCCCAACGAAAAACCATTTTCGCCGACAGTGGTAAAACCCCACGCGCGAAAGCTTGCGAAAGCTTCGCGAAGGTCCTGCGAAAGGCCTGGAAAAAATGAAAGGGCTTTTGAACAACCCCCATATGTCTCGCTTCAAGTCGGAGTTCACCAGTCATGGAACGAGAAGGTTGTGGTCAAGTCTTTGGCTACTTTTAGCAGCACCTTGCATTGTTTAGCAGAAATGAACACCTGCTGTTGTGCCCAGGTTCTCAATCTACCTGAGAGCGGAGACAATGTTTGGCACAACCTTCACTGGATTGTCCCAGCAACTGCCCGTTTGTATGGCAAAGCCAAAACCAGCCTGGGCGTAAGGGCTCCTCGAGATGTCCTTTTGATCCTGCTGTTTGATGCTTACGAATTCCGAGAAGATGACCAGCAGGCAAATCTCACCGAGGTGAGGTGCAAATGCTTTCGCTGCAATGGCACAAATTGGTTCTTTATTATTATTATACGCTTTACAATGTTTTTGTATGTTCTTGGGATGTGGCAACAGCTTTTGCTTGATCGAAATCATTCCGCCCAAGAGAAGAGGGCTGCCAGGAGACTGCCGAGCTTCATCAGGCATTGCAGAAGCAGCACTTCGAGCAGTGGGTGGTTAGGCACCGCGTTTAAAGGCAATTCTTGTTTGGAGGCGTTTTTTCGATATCCTTTTGTCTAGTAGCTAGAAGCTACTAGTAACAAGTGCATCGCTACTAGTAGCAAGGCATTACTACTAGTAGCTAGAAGCTACTAGTAACAATTTGGATGGTCTGACAGTAAGGCTCTTTTCGGTGGACTAGGCACGCTCCACTACTGCAGCTTCTCACATCGTCACCCCCAGTGCTGCTTCACACACTACGGCGGCGTTGTTTTCAGCTGCTACTTTGGGGTCGGAGGCTCAGAACTACAATATAAATATAAATAATATAACTCAGACCTTGCAGCATTGAGCAAGCAAGGGACCGTCGCGACAAACTTCAACTATGAATGTTCAATATCATGCGTTTCACGGGTGAAATGCCAAGGACATTCGGAGATGCGGGCTGACCGTGAACTACGACATAACACTGCATTGGGGCCAGACGATGTGAAGACCTTTCAGACTGCTTTGACACAGCTCCACGGTCAGGAGATGGATGCTTGGTTTTTGTCAAGCTATTTGTTCATTTTTGTTATTGTGCTGCCAGAGTCATCCTTTCAGCATCTTCCACTGAAACTATTTGTTCGATTCTGAGCAGCCAACATCATCCGACACCTTTTCGGACGATCGACTTGTGTGCAGAACTTTCATGTATCCTGCCTCAACGAATGGGTGCAGACTGACCTATCACCCCGCACAATCTATGGAGATCGAATCCATTACACTTACACTCAAGACTTTGCTTTGTATATCAATATAGCTTGCACTGAAGTATGCAGATAGTACATGACAATGAAATACGCATGAGTGACACTGCCTGATTGCCTCTTTGGCAACTGAGGATGCCATGGCCGCAAAGTTTTGGAACGGAGCTACCAGCTCCAGGTTCCCCAAACCACGAGGCACAAGCTATCTAAACAAAAAACTGAAAGATCTGAAAGTTCGTAGTGTCCTGCAGTTGTAATACTCACATGTGCCACGCGTATGCTGAACAGGTGCGGTGTCAGTCCTCATCATTCAGCGAGCTTTTGCACATGGTCGGGCTTTTCTAGCCTGGCCCAACCTGACAAAGGCTGTGTTGTCCCCTTTGGCGCAGGAAGGGCATATAGCCTCTCGGCCAAAACGACTTAGAATTAACGATAATCTTGCAATGCATTGCACAATTGCACATATTCTTTCTTTTGAAGTGCAGAAAGCCAGTCATATGCATGAAGCCACTGCATTCAAGGATGCAGTAGAGCTCGGTTCTTTGTATCAACATGTTCGATCATGTGTGAGCATCAGCATTAGCAAAGTTGCGCGGGTCGGCTTTACGACATTCAAGGCTTGGCGAACTTTGGATGACCTTGAGCAAAGACCACTTTTGCAACAGGCGAGAAGCAAGATGTGTTTTTCTATCATGGAAGTTTGGTGCAAATGTGATGCATCCATAAGGGCCATAAGGACAACAAGGGCACTACATTGCTTGCTTGCGTGAGTGCTTACGTCTCAGTACATCCAGTGGGACCAATATGACATCAGACATGATGTATCGTGTTACTATTATGCGTCAATGTCGAAGCTTACTGTTTTGGATTTGAAGTTTTTACTGAGAAAAAGAAGTGGGTCGGATCTGTGAAGCTACGTGGGCTGGGGCCTGGTCTGTGCACGTCAAAACGGGCCCGTGTTGGCTGACACTTGGCCTCATTCGTACCAAGCAAATATTTTGTCTCGCTCACAGAGAGCCATGGTTGTATGGGTCTGAACAGTTTAAAGTTTAAAGTCGTTGCCGTTGCAAAAACAAAATTCAAAAAAAAAAGAAAAAAAGAGAGCAAGAGTCCAAAATGGAAGACTCCACAAAACAATTCAACAATGAAATCGATGAAACAAATCGAACCTCAATAACATGCAACAAACAAAGGAATCCAGGAACACTCAAGTGCAAAACTCAAGCTTGGATCTGGATTCCTGCTATGGCCCAAGAAGAAACAAGCCCAGACTCAAAGAAACAAAATCAGAGCTGCAAGTGACTCTGGAGTAGCTGTAGCAACTCTCAACCATGAGCCATGCTGCAAGATGCCATGAGCTTGCCCCAAACCAAACATTGAAAATTGCGTGCCGGCTGCAGCGGGAAAACAAACGAAATTACATTCCCCCCACCTGACTTTGTTCTTCAAAAACACGAACCCCACCGCCCACCCCACATTCATTGCCGGCCAGCTAAGTTTGTCGCACTTCCGTTTTGCCTGGTCTTGCTTTCTCCACGCCTTGTTTGGGTCTATGCTGGTGTAATTGTTGCTTGACTGTGTGCAGGAAAGTTGAGCCAAGAAACGCTCAGGCTGCCTTCTTCAGAAGTGCCGATGTGCTGGTGGGTGCAGTGGGCGCAGCCTTGGGATGGCTTCCTGTCCATACTAGAAGAAAAAGATGAAAGAGTATGTCAACATTTGAGCTAAGCTAAGAGTATGTTGTAGAATGTTGTAGACTGGTCTATGTTCAAGGCCTTCCGGCTTTGACATACACAGTTGTTCTTGGCCATGCTGTAAGCTCTCTTTATCGGCATGTTCTGTAGCTCTGGTGTTGTCTTTATGTACCCAATTCTCACACATGGCCTGTTCCTTACAACTGGCAATCAACCTGATCTCATGGTGAACTGGTGAGCCACCATTCTTTCCGGACCCTCGCAGCAAGCGCCAAAGCTTCTTTTCTATTCCACCCCATTGCAGCTGCCCTGACACCTGCGCAAACGAGACGGTCAGATCAAAAGACCCGTGCTACCAGAACCCCTGAGCTGCTCAGGATGCTGCTCATGCTGCCCGGAAGTCAAGTTCTTGAATGGTGACTGTGCCAGCGAAATTGCCGACAGTTGTTTTGGTGATAGTGTCCTCAACCTTCTTTTCTCCGCTTTTAGTCTCAACCAGGTCCGTCTTGGATTGAGATGTTCCGCAAAACCAGACTTTGCCAGCTTTCGTGTCCAAGCCCTTCTCAGGATCCCGCGTGGCGTCCAGCCGTGTTTGTATCGATGCAGCGAAGAGTGGAATGCGGATCATTTGGGAATGTTCGGAGGCTTGGGAAGGCACGGAATGTCAAATGAGTCTTGTTGGTGTCAAGTTTGCTCCGTGATTCTGAAGCTTCTGTATTTCACCATCCTGTTGGAAGAGGTTGTCTGGTGTGGACCATGTTTGCTTGCGGAGTGAAGCGCATCCGCTACAACTATCAGTTTCTCAGCTGTATGATCTGTATGGCAAAAACATGTAAAATCACACAAGGCCAAATTCAACAGAATGCACGCAGCATGCACAAGGATATTACAATGGCATGAGGCCTAGCCAATGACCCGTTTCTAAAACATTCCAAGGCCCAGTCATTTTGTGGATCAGGCAGCACTGGGACAGTACTTTGTAGATATTTTTTGCCCAGGATGCAAAGAGATTCTCAGCAACAAGGGCTACTGCAAGAGATGCGTACTGGAGACTTGAAAACCTTCAGGTTGACTTGCATAAGTTCTCCCGCTGGGTTACTGAAGGAGTTCGGCGAGCGGCTGAAATCATGCTGCTATGGGAGGATGGGCTGCGTGGGCTGCTTGCTGAACATTCGTCCATGAATCACGTCATTCAGTTCTGGCGCAAGTTCTTTTTGCTTCATAGCCAGCTGCGGGTGGTTGGCAAACAAGAACTGACTCTAAGGGTGCATGAACCCTGATGGGATTCAATACTACCAAAAAAGAAGGTTTATTTGTAGTGGATTACATCATATTCACAGGTGCACCCATATGTGCAAGCTTTGCGGGGTTCAAATCCTTGGAAAGTAATACAGAGGAATCCCTGATGAAGACTCAGGGTGGACTGTTTGAAGTGCTAACATTTTGGCTTTAGGAGCACAAAAGGCGCGACCCGTTGCTGTTTCACGGTAGCGGAGCCATTGTTTGGCTCAGAAACGTGGGACGAGATCGAAGGACAAGCGGTATGAGAGAATAGTGAGAGGATAAGAAAAGCATCAGGCTCGATGCGACCGTGACCGTGAGCCACTGGACGTGGACGAGCCTGCTTCAGTTGAGGCAAAGGGACTGTGACCACCTATCCTCACAGGTCTCTCTCAGGTGAGAAGTTTGGGTTTTTACTTAGGAGTTCCCGATGAAGGAGCACATCTTTGAGGAGCTCGAGCAGGAGGTGAACACTGACCTGGATCAGGCTTGAGCGAGAACCCAAAGCGTCATAAAGTTCACCGCCAAGCTCTTGGAAGAAGAAGGAGAAGGAAGAAGAAGAAGTCGGATGATCTGACGTTCCCTGGCAACTTGGGAACCTTGAGGACAACCAGTTTTGATTCCTGACTCTGCGCCTCCGCTTGAAGGTATTTCAGCGCGCAGAGAGTGCCAAATGAGCAGCCCAGAAGTTCATTCCAAGAGATGCTTTTGCATCACCGCTGAGAGACAACTGAAGTATGGTCAGACTCCGGACTTCTGACTGTGAAGGTTGTTTTCAAGAGTATGGTGCGTCCAACAAACCTCACAGTGAAGGTTGCAAGAAGGGCTTTCGAGGCTCTTCGTTTTCGGCCGGAGCCGAGGGCTGAGGAGCTTCTGTTCGGATGACCGGTCAACCTGTTGGTTCAGTCTTCTGTGCTTGCGCGGGAGGAAGTGACCCGGTGACACTACAGGTGCTTTTGTTCGAGCCACTCCCATGGACGAGACCCGTGGCAACATCTACGATGACAGAGCCGGAACGCTAAAGCTGCTGAAGGAAGGGAGAGACAACCTTCGTTGATGGACGAGTTGAATGCGGGTGGGAGGCACGGAGACAAGGCCAGCATGGCTCCGTCAAGATTTGTGGCCCAAGAACTCAACCTGTACAAGGTAGAGGGCATTTCGCAGGGAATTCCCTGTCTGGATGCATCGGCTTTTGGCTATGCGGCGCGCAGCGTGAATGGCGTGGTTGACAAGCTGATAGCTAGGTATGACACGTCTGGCATTCTTCCATGCAGATTCGTCAGGAGGCACTGCAGCGATCCCACAGAAGATGTTGTCATTTGGAAGTTGACCAAAGCAATGAACGTGACGAGAGGCGTCAAGTTGCTGGGCTCACAAGATTCGGAGCACTAAGAAGAAACGTGGCTTTGATGAGAACAATTGGGAACATCTACGCAGAAACGTTTCCTGGAGCTTAACCGCGCTCACATCAGAAGCTGACCCGAAGCACCGCGAATGCTTGATGAAAGAACTTTTGCTTCGCTTGGAGCTTGCGTAGAGCAAGTAATGTGTTGTCGATATAGTTGCCCAAACGGCACTGCCGTTTTGGCTCAAGTCTTCGCTTGTTGGCGCCAACCGTGTTGAAACATTGCTCCTACCTACTACTCCAGCCAGTCCGCAGGTTTGGACACTGTTGCGAGGAATCCCGGTGCCCCGGCTGAAGACTTCCTGATCCTCAATTACACCCGTTTGAGCGAAAACTCCATCGTGGACTCGATGGAGGTGGAGGACTCTGCTCTGGCGCGGGCAGTGGTTGATCCTTTGATGGTGGAGGGTGGTGGAGGTGGAACCCCCCCCGATTTTGGATGCGCACTCCAAAGAAGTCCTGGACACCCAACTCAAGGACTTGGCGAGCACGGTGGCGAAGCTTGGTCTACAGGATCCGGCGGCGGTGGCTGCAGCGGTTTGCTGCTCTGAATGACCTCCCGGAGCAGGCCAAGCCTTCGGAGCCTCTGAAGGGCTTTGTGGCAGCTACTCCTGCTGCTGATGCTGCGATGCCCGGGGGCCCGTCTCTGAAGGATGAGCTGGTGGGAGCGATCCAGGTCGCCGACGGCTTCCAAGTTGAAGGTTTGGAGAAGTTGCTCCCGGTACTGCCTGCGGATTGCTCTCGCTTTGCCCGAACGCTCACTCATGGTGAGATGAAAGCCCTCCTGACTGCCTTCGCCCACCAGCACCTCACGGCCTCGGTCTCCCGTGTCATGGAGATGCACGCGGTGGTAGCGGTGCTTTTCAAGGCCAAAGCACACGGTTTGTCGCGCCGGCAGCCACGGGCCGGGTTTTCAGTTGGTTGTGTGCTGGCTGCCACCTCCTGTGGCCGGCAGACAAGACACGCTGCTTGGGCTGCAAGAGCTTGGATTGTATCGATATCTCGGAGGACCCCTTGTCCATCATAGAAGTGGATGGCAACTCTTCACAGCTGCGCCTTGGCTTGTCGGGACCCCATTGGGTCCTTGTTGACTGGCGAATAAGGCTTCAGGTTACATTCCAGCAGGTGTGACCTTGGACAGATGCCTTCGCCGGCGGTAGCCCCGGGCACCGACCGAGCAAGGATGATGTCGTTGCGCATTTAGATTGCCAAAGAGGAACGGCCTCGTATTTGCCAAAGAGGGGCCAGGCAAGGTCAAGCACCTCGCCAGACAAGGTGCTGTCCGTTCACTGTTTTAGAGAGGCCAAGGACCAAAATGCCCAGACAAGGGTCTTGCTTGTGGCAGCATTGGCGGTTAGCCTGGTTGCGCCTGTTCAAGCTCAATCGGGTGTAGCAGTGGGCCCGCAGCTGAATATTGCCGGACAGAAGAAGCTGACTTGGGGATGGACTAGATCTAGCGGCGCGCAGGGGGATTTGCAAGCGTCAGGATCGCGATCCGCACGGATCGTGCAAACAGCGCGATGGATCTCCAAGGGCTTCCAACAGAGAACTGGGGATGAATGTTCTCAATGCGCTTCCCAAGATGATCTTGGTCAGCGTCAGCGTGTGTCGAGATCATTGTTTGTACTGTTCAGGCAACAAGGGTGACTTGAGCAGTCATCTCCTCAGTGTGTGGAGGAAATGCGATGAAGATCAAATACGCCAGCTGCTGGGAGTCTTTCAGAGGTCAAAGTGTGGAGACCTTCGGCTGATGCGCTGGCAAGCGCTGGGGCCATTTCTTGGTTGACAAAGCTATCATAGCTGATGGAGTTGGAGGTTGACTAGAGCTGAGACTGAGACTGGCTCGAGTCAGTGAGGGGTGTCGTGCGTTACATCATACTCGCAGGCGCGCCCATATGGACTAGTGCGCGCGCAAGCTGTGTACGTTTCAATCCTCGGTGAGTAGCGCAGAGGAATTCGTGATGAAGATTCAGGGTGGACTATTTGAACTGCCAACACTTTGGCCCACGGCGCGGCCCATTGCTGTTCCATTGTCACCTTCAATATTTTCCCGCGTTTGTTGAACATGTCTTTTTCCACTGTGAAGTATGGGTCCTTTGTAGAACCAAAAGAACAAACTGTTTGAGATGTTTTGCCCACAATGTGGCCTTGAAGAGGGGAGTATTTTTGTGAGAAAGGAGCGGCTGTAGAAGAGGGTGATCGAATCTGTTTTGGATAGTAGTCTGTGTGTGGCTTGGCGGGCGCAGTTATCTTCAGAAATCCCGCCGTTGTAGAAAGTCTTGATGAAAACTGGAAGACTTGCTCAGTGCATGATGAGTTGTATCCTGTGGGCCCCTTTCTGGTTCTTGTATCAATGTTGTTTCTCAACCACACTCATGAAACTATGGTTTTCACCGGGGATGTCAAAGGGACCAGAATCAAAACCGGGATGTTTTGTGGGAAACTGGGACATCGTCATGGCAGATGTTTTTGTAGGACGCCGCCCCAGAATTTTGACCGGGGTCATATGAAAGGATTCCGCCAGCGCATGATCGATGATGGCCAACATCTCAAGCTCAAGGAGAAAAAGAGGATGAGAGGAATGTGCTTTAACAGCAAACAACAATGGTGCGAATACTCAACGATACAACACAGGTCAGTGCCAGATTGTATGGTCATGAAAGAAGCAGAAGGAAGCAATGTTGGGGTGCGGTTTCTGCTGAAACCCTACTTGTTACTTGTTAGATCTTGCAAAAACAATTAAGGCATTTGCTAGTTTGTTCCATGTCAAAAGCATGCCATGGATCCTTTGGCGTTACTGTCAGACGAAGAGGCCTCGCTCTTAAAGATGAGGGCAGATCCGGATCGGCCTTATCTCCTCGTCTTGGATTTGCCCTTTGCATTTCGTGACTGTTGAGTGTTATTTCGAGGACTGGACAAAAGTCCAGAATTGATGTGGCATGTTCGTTCCTAGTGGTTCGTTTATATATATATATAACTGCCCGCAAGCGCGCCAGCAATTTAAATGTAGGGTTCGTTTGGTAGATTCATTGGACTTAGAATGACTTATACTTACGCAGGAAATGTGGAAGAAGTCAGACATAAAGCTGCTGAGGATGAAGCTGGTGCTGACGGAGAAGAAAGAGGACCCTTTGCATGCAATCATGGCCCCTCGATTGGACTGCCACAGGATTGGATGCAATCATAATAAAGCAGTTGCGCAATTTTGCTCATCAGGGCTACAAGATCCAGATCCCAAGCGGCTTCGCACAGCCGCTTGTTCATGGACTATTTGTTGGCTGCGTGTGATTAACAGCTAGATGCAGAGAGAGACCTTTGTGATACTCGATAAGGACTTGGTTCATGAGCATGTTGAATCAGTATCAAGGAAGCTCATAGGAGTACTGAGGCCTCGGTTTAAGTTGTATCGATCAAATAGAGGGGAGTCGAATCAAAACTCTGTGCCCTTTCAGATTGACTTCTCTGTCTTTGTGTAAGTTCTTTTCTGTCTTTCGTTTTGAATTGATGCTGACTTGAGAAGTAGAGTACCTTCAAGCACCCGCTCCCACCTCGTTTTTTGGCTGCAGGTCTAGGTAGTGTAGCCTTCAGGACCACAGTGTGCTGCATGCTTATGAGATACACGCGTTCAATCCAGTACTCCCGCTTGAAAGAAGATGGCGTGGAGGCATGGAATATTCAGTTTCGCCACTTATACTGGCCCCATATGAGATGCACTTTCTCCTTTTTCCCGAATGCGTAGCGAAGGGTTCTCGTTTAACTTTGGGGGTCTGGGGAGAGCCTTGTTCGCGACTCGTTGTCTGAGCGACCGCAACCGTGGTCAACCGACCGCAACCATTCGCAACCGTTCGCAGGTGAGCGCTATGGCGCTGGCGTTGGGGGAAAGTTTTGGAGAGGGTTTTGCATGGAAGCATGACGTGTCAAATTCGTGTGAAATAGCAAGGAAACGTGTGGAAACATGAGATGTTGAAGTGTGGAGGATGAAGTCACTGCGCAGGCGCTGCGTTTTGTGAGATCCGCTGTTTTTTGCAGTCACATTGGGATTGGCGTTTGGGAGTGGTGTTTTAGGGTGTGGGATGTGGCTGTGACATTGGGATTTGCGTTTCAGGCTGTTGCTTCGAAGCTGTGCTTTCGTGACAAGTCTTAGATCAAAGGGCGACTTGGGTGGATGGCAGTGTGCTCAGAACGTGTCGAGATCATCACATGATATGATGTTGTCATTGTTCGTGCAGGCAGGCGCAGTACTTTTTGTGCGTGTTAGACGTGTGGACGTGCAAATTTTCGCGGCAGGCGCAGGGAATCGTGAGGCTGTGACTGTGACATTGGGATTGGTGTGTGGGCGGGGCTGTTTGATTTGTGCGTGCGCTCCGATGGGGCTTCCCGCTTGACTTTTGGAGGAAGTCTCGTACGAAACGCTCGTTTGTAGACTAGTCTCGTGCGAATTGGAAGAAGTCTCGCGCGAAATGCTCGTTTTGGAGACTTGACACGTGCGGTTTGGAGGATGTCTCGTACGAAGCGCTCGTTCTGCAGACTTGAAGTGTGACTGAAGTCTTGTACGACGCGCTCGTTTTGTAGACTTCAAGTGTGAGTTTTTGAAGAAGGTCTCGTGCGAAACGCTCGTTTTGAAGACGTGACAGTTAACTGTTGGAGACTTTAGTAGTAGTGCCCCGCAAGTGTGTGACGCAAGAGTGTCCTCTAAGAGTGTCTCGCAAGAGTGTCCCACAAGAGTGCCATACAAGATCCTAAAAGAGTGACCCACAAGAGGGTCCTGCAATAAGAGTGTCCCATCAGGATGTCCGTCGAGAGCGTCCTACAAGAGTGTCCTACAACGCAAGAGTTTTCCACAAGAGTGTCCTGCAAGAGTGTCCCACAAGAGTGACTTACAAGTCCCGCAAGACTGTCCGACAAGAGTGTCCCACAAGAGTGTTCCACAAGAGTGTCCGTTCAAGAGCGCACAAAAGTGTCCCACAAAGGTTTCCGAAGAGAATGCGTCCTACAAGAGGGTTCCACAAGAGTGTGTCCTACAAGAGTGCCAAAAATTGTTTGGGTGTTTGTTTTTGAGGACGTGTTTGCGTTCGGGTTCGTGGGTTCCATCTTGTTTGTTTGTATAGATGAATGACTGTTCCGTTCCCACTCATGCGTTCCGTTCCCACTCATGCGTAACCTCACCCGATTGTGGCGCCACCTTGCGGATGGGCGACTATGTAAGCATGAGTGACTTATCTCTTAGCTCGGACAACTCGCCCGGATTTTGTTTAGTTTGGAGGCTTTCAAACCACGAGTTGTTTTGCCTGCGGATTGAAAACTAAAGGTAAAAAACAACAAGTTTCTCCCTGAAACAGGAAAATGACAACGGCACTGAATTTTGTCGAACCCCAGTGTAGATTCCTCCACCTCAAACGATAGTGCACGCATCAAACATGTGCTTAAAACGCAGGTTTCGTTTACCACAACAATGACCGCTGCTCCTAAACACACACGCCTACACGTTCAGTTTTCAACCCGCCGGAAAGTGTTTGTTGGTTGCGCTGGCTGGTTGCACTGACTTGCTTGATTTCTGCATGTGGTGTCCGTGTAGTTTTGGGGTTGATTTCAAGCTGACTTACCATTCTTCTGATGCTACAAGCTTCGGCTTTGCATCACATGGGGCGTAACAAAACATGCCAAGGAGTAGCAAACCCAATGTTTCGGGCAATTTGCTACACCTTTGTGTGACGTCTCTTGATTCAATGCGGTGCGCCATACAGCAACTTGGCCTTTTGCTGGTGACTTGAACGTAGCGTTTGTGGCTGAGAAAGCCCATTTGTCTGATTCTCAACTACCTGGACAGATCACGAAGTTCAGCATGCTGTGCGTTTAACGTTCATAGTGTTTTTAATGAATAAATGACTGCGGGTTAGGGTGGGTGCACAAGCTCCTGTGAGTATGTAAGACTTTGCCTCTACGTGTTTATATTAAATCTATATACATGTTTCTATTTATTAAAGAGAATTGACACTGATGTGGATAATGCTGGTAGCAATGTGATTGGCATTGTAGAAGTAGCCTCTACAGGCGGTCGAGCTGTAGAGTTTTTCAATTCGCACCATCGGACGCCATGGCAGACACTAACAAGTCCATACAAGTCCATTATTATCCTTCTTCCCGCAGCGACGCCACTTTGGCAATTTGTCATTAAAGAAAGCGATATCACTGCAGTTCGAGATCAAACAAAGGTGACAAAAGAAAATTGATTTTGGTGACGCATAAATCACCTAACAAGCTGAGCACATGCTTTTGGGTCTTAAACGCTTCACCTACTAGCCGGGCCTACCGCATCATTCACATTGGCAGTTATACGCGCGCCAATGCGCTAGCAATGCTGTGTAGGCTAGTGGGATTTTCTGCTTCAATTGTATTTTTTCGTTCACCTATTACAAAAGTTGCCTGCATTTGCGCGTTCCTTTCCGTGCACTTGCACTGTGTGTGTGTGTGTTCCTTGCTTTGTGCCTACGGCGCGACCCCCCTCACATTTTAGTAACCTGCTAACTCTTAGGCTGAGCCAGAAGGTGTGAACTTTGAAGCCTTGAGGCGTCAGGACCTTGGAGATGCTGAGAGACAACTTGGTGGCCAGTGATGATTTAGCCATATTTAGCCCAAGAAAGATTGAGGAAGAATAAAGCGCGAGGTCGCGCTTTTTGGTTTTTGCCCTGGCTTGCAGCCCCCGACTTGTATATGTGTATGAGATTGATGCATGGATGGATGGATGTATGATATGTATGTAAGTGTGTATATTATATATAATATGAGTTGCAGGGGAAACGTTTTCTTGGCCAAGTTCCGATTCAACAGTGCAAGTCCGGCAGCCAGGGATTGGGTATGGCGCTCAAGCAGAGGCCGAAGAGGCTTGGATGGATGTTGACACTTCAGATCGGGAAGCATCAATAACTAAGTGCGGCACAAAGAACATCAACACGCGGTCTTTATGGACTTTCAACACTCCTATGTCCTTGGTGTATCTTGGTGTCGTTTCATGCATTACCTTGTTGCAGTCGAGGCAAAGCGAAGGGAGTGTGAAGAATTCAACGTATGACGTATGCAAGTTGACACTGGTGAGGTTCGCCAAAGCCATCCGTTTTCGACAAAATGTGCTTTTTCAACACATCCTTCCCTATGTGTCAATCCTTCGTCCAACCCCGCTCGTCAGAAAGGTTCAAATTCCCAGGTATTTCCCTAATAAAGATTTCAAACCGCCCTCAGATTCAACATGTAGAAAAGTTTACGCAGCTGAATGAAAAGCACTGCATAGTTAAATATAAGGGATTCAGGAGGAACTGAGCCACTGGGTACTTCAGCGCAAGGATTTTGCGCCTTCGTCTAAGCCCGTACATTTGGTTTCGTCTTACGCCCTCCCTTTGGAATCTTGAACCGGTCTTCCCTTTCCGCTTCGACGGTACAAGTTCACTTTTTGCTTGCCCCTGGGCCAAGAGTGCTTTGTATTTTGCAGGGAGCAGGTGGTCAATCATTGACAGGCGGCCAATGCAGCTGCTTCACTCCAAGGAACGTTTTCTGCGCAGTGCTCAGAAGCTGAACAGTTGGTTGTTGTTAATAGTAACAGTCCGTTCCGCAGACTTGTCTGGGTATCAGATCATGTTGTGTTGCTTGCCTAGTTGAAATACCTGGAAGGTCAGATGATCGCATTCTTTGTTATTCATGTTTTGTTGTTTGCGGACACATTTTGGAATCATTGCAGTTCCCTTGTATTGGGGAAGATCTGAAGATCTGAAGCAGGCGCTGCAGCAGAAGGCACAAGAGGACGCAGCAGGGCGTCTCTGACTCAAGCGGTATTCAGCTGATTCGTTGCAGGCAGACGTGTTCCATTGTATCCTGATGAAGTGACTACAGCATGCAATTCAATGAAGAACCTGTTTGTGGCAAGCACTGGTCTGACTCACCTGAGACAGGGTACTGAAAAAAAACAGGTACCTTTTTTCTGAGGTTTCAAGGCTGACATCGCGTTTGGCCGCCATGATTAAAGATGAATCAGCAGACCTCCGTGAGGTTGTAGTGATGTAACCTCAAACAATTTGTTTTCATTGTGTTTCCCCAAACAGTTTACTGTTGGGGTTCTATCTTAGAAAAAGAAAAAGCTGGCCACACTCACTGGCCGCGCCCCTGAACTCTGTGGCTGGGCTTTGTGTCCAGGCCTTGTCCTCCTCTTGTCCTCCTCTTGGCCACGCCCCTGAACTCTGTAGCTGGGCTCTGTGTCCAGGCCTTGTCCTCCTCTTGGCCACGCCCCTGAACTCTGTGGCTGGGCTCTGTGTCCAGGCCTTGTCCTCCTCTTGTCCTCCGTGGCTGGGCCTTGTCCTCCTCTTGTCCTTGTCTTGGCCGCGTTCCTGAACTCTGTGGCTGGGCTCTGTGGCCCGGCTCTGTATCCGGGTCCTGTCCTTGTCTTGGAAGGTTTTTCAATGATTATTTTACATATGTCCGACATATGTGTCAGTGGGCCACGACATGTTGCGCCAAGCATCGGCCGATTTAGTGTTCCACAGGATCCACAGGTTGGACGTGGAATGTGCCAAAAAAATGCATCCTATGTATCGTACAACGACACGGCCCCGGCAATGGCCATTGTTCGTTCACGTGTGTCACGTGTGTCACAAGGCACTGCTGGTGACAACTGTTTTTCCTCGCGCCTTTTCTCTGCCGCATGTCCAGCTGGAGCGGGCATGTCCCTTTTTTTCCTCACTCCTTTTCACCGCGTGTCTGAGGGGGTGAAACGAATCCCTGCTTTGTACTGGCCAGGGTCGAGCTGCTGTGCTCGGTCCAGAGTGGTGGATGGTGGCAAGCGACTGGGCATAGGGCCCCCGTCTGTGTAGGAAGTCAAGACATCACAGAGCGGGGGGCAGGGCCCGTCCACGGTGGAGGCGGACGTCCCGCCACGGCTCTTCTGGCTGGTAGACACCTGCTCCCAGCGATCTCCTTCGCCACGCCTTTCCACAATCTAATTCCGCGCCCAAAACGACCCTGAACTCTGTGGCTGGTCTCTGTGGCCCGGCTTGCTGGAGAGGAGTGTGGCCGAACAAATGGCGACGTCAACGCCGACAAAAACTCATTGATGAAGCAGTTTGCTCTTGGGGTGAAGGTAGGGCGTACCAAGAAATCGACTTTTTACTGATATTGGTCTAAACTAAACGAACCGTTTTGAAGCTGCTTGGGGCCTATGCTTGTATAATTTAAGCTTCTACTATACGCAACAACATTTCCGGCAGGCAATCCTTGTAACTATAATATACCGCCAGTTTGCGATGAATCATCAACATTCCAAGTGCAAGTGGGATAAAAGATGGTAACCGTTGTTTGCATCAAGCTGTATGGTGTGCAACGTTTCATCTTGCGCTAGAGCGCAAACACAACTAGCATCAGGGCCATATGGGGAGCTTTGGACATGTTGTGCGGAAAGGCATTGAATATCCCTGAGCTGCTGAACATCAATGCATTTGCACCATCGGATCCGTACAACCATGCGCGTATATACCTAGATTCTGTCTCGGCGGGCCCTTCTCCTACTAGCAAGGGGTCTTATTTAAAATGACCCTTTCGATGCTGTCCAACACATCCGCGAAAGATTTGCGATGAGGTTTGCGAAAGTTTCTCGCGGAAGATTTATCGTCGAAGGTCGAAGGTCTTCGCTTTTATGTTATTTCCTTTCTACCGACCGACGCATGGTAGAATTACAAAGCAATCCTCCGGCAGAGCCGGCGGGCAGTGCGCCCGCATGTGCTCACTGTCACGAACAGAAGCCTCAACGTTTCCTTGCCCAGCCCTCGCAGTGTGTAAAGGATTTCTCCGATTCCCGTCTCCACTGCCACAGACTAGCAACCTGACAACTTAACTTGTCCTTGCACACCCCTGACAGCACGTACATAAATGGTTTTTCCCCAAGTTAGCTCATAAGCTGCAACTGCGTCACCCGTGAACAGCGCTGACAGTTAAGGAACGACCCGCAGCTCTGACGGGCTGCGCAGATGTTTGCACATGATATGCCTTCTCAGGGGAATCACCAGTCAAAATTCAAAAAAGATCCGCGAAAAGTTTTGCGAGCGCGCCGTTAGAGTCCAAGTTCCAAGCTTGGGCCCCCAAACATTCCCCGAGCCGCATCACCCTGTTGGTAGTTGGCGCGAGGATTGGGTTAAGTTGCTCCTGACTATTCTAAGCCTCCTGCAGGGCTCGGGACACTGCTTGTCGCACAGATGTCACAAGATGCTGCAAGACCCTGAGTACAACTCCCAACCTTGTGTGTAGGTCATGCTGCAAGATGTCATTCACTAGCTTGTGATAAATCTAAATATACACAAATTTACCGCTCCAACACATGTTAACTAAACACGTTTTTAGGGCCATGCTTCGCGATGAGTCCGCAAAAACATTTTTTTGGCGCGCAGAATTGGCATTGCATCTTGGAAGAATTTTGATCAGCCACCATGTTGCACCTGGGCTCGGAAAGGATTCCTGGAGACGCCTCGATAATTAAGACGCACGTTTCAGACACGCTGGCTTGGCTTGGTTTTGCTGGCCGATCGAACAGTGCTGCCTAGCCTATATTGTTTTAGTGAGTTACCACAGATGGTGGTTGTGTTTGCGTACCAGCGCGTGACGTTATCAAGGATCGTGGTGAAGTGTGGAACATTTTAAGCCAATTGAGGAGACGAAGTGTCTCAGTGTATCACGGGATATGCAACGCGTAGAGTCATGAGGGGACCCAATTCGCATTGTAGACTTAGTAAACATGGAGCATGTAAGCATATTTTTGTTGAATCCAATTTATGTTGTTTGCCTTGTTGCAGGTTGGACGAAGCAAAAGAGAAAGCTCAGGAGCTAGATAAGCAACAGACGTGAAACAACAGTCGAAGGATGTAGTAATGGAACTGCCGAATTGTGAAAATGATGGACCTAGCAGGGACATCCCATGAGCCACCATGGATTGCACCGGTATCCCACAGCTCACGAGACTGAAGCTTTTGACCTCGCTTTGGCTCAAGAAAGAGCGCACGATGTTTGCTGCCAGTGTTGGATTCATTTCCACACTGGTAGCGGAGCTACCACAGCTCCTTGGGACCTTGGTCCCGCCCTTTCACGTCACGGCCCTTGTGGCCACGCTTCGCGCGCCGTGTCTGATCATGGCGCTGCTTGACACCTTCAGGTATGATGTCAACTTCATCAAGGAGGAGGAGACGCAGAACAGCGCCGAGGGCAAGAATACTGGTGGCGTCCCACGCTTCAACGGAGAAGCAACCAGGTTAGGTGAATACACCTGGAGGGTTCGTGCCCGCATGGCACGAGAAGCCGAGATGGACCCCAGCGAGGTGAGGAAACAAGGACCACTAGGTCTCCGCCTATAGTGGAGCAACTTTCTGGCCCCGCACTCCGTGTCGCCCAGCAGATGTCCCACACGGTTCTCGCCAGCAAGGAGGGCGCGGAGAAGCTGTTGGAGGCCTTGGCTTCCTCGCTGAAGCCGCGACGAGCTCAGGAGGCTTGCGAGCTCTACGCGGCGGGCGCCCGAGAAGGCGGCGTCCTCAGCCGCCAGGCCACGGAGCCAATGTCGACCTACTTGGTCCGAAGTTGCCGGAGGTGATC